TCTTCCTCCCGCCCATGAGCTGGGGTGGGGGAGGGGCTCGGGTCCCACGGAGCCACAGCTCTGGTACGTTACCCCGTTCACTGAGGTCTGCTCTTTTCTCCAGGTGTGTGCAGTCTGATGCCATCCTCTTTCTTGTTGCTCTCTCAGGATTAGTTGTGCCAATTAAATTTTCTAATTGTATCCAATTTTAGGAGGAAGCCTCTGTCTCTCCTCTCACGCCGCCATCTTTAATCCCATCTCTCTATATACACTTTTTATTATAATTACCATCATGAGGTACACATAATTTGTATCTGGTTTTTTGGCTCACATGACATTTTCCCATGTAGTTTATAGTCTTCATAATGATATTTTGTAAAAGCTACATCACTTTGCATTAAGTGGCCATATCTACTGGTTCTCTAGTTTGGGAATATTTAGATTCCTTCCACTGATTGCATTACCAGATATTGCTGCAGAAAACACCATCATGCATTAGATTTGTTCTTTCTCCTTCTTTTTTATGACCTTAGGAAAAAGCTCCAGAATCGGGATTACTAAATCAAACAATACGAATGGCTTTTTGTTTGCTTGTTTATTTTTAATGACCATAGTACTTTCCAAAAGAATGATAGAAATTGATAAAGCAAGTATCAGTGTATCAACTTGTTTTTATTGCAACTTTTCTAACACTGGCTATCAACTGTCTATGTACAATTTCAATGCCATAAAATAAGGTAGGTGTGAAAAATAATGTGTCCCAAAAATGTGACCCCCATTCTCAACCGTCCATCCTTGCTTGTTGCAATATTTTCCACGTCATTTTTCCTTTGCACTTTTAATCCACCTTCATACACCAAGGCCGTTCTTGTGGGTTCTAGTGCCATGTTCTGGCTGGACTGGGCAGCATTCTAGACTAGCACAGGAAGCCGTGTGCTGCACTGCAGCTTCACAGCACTACACTGGAGAAGAATCACTTCTCTAGTCTTCCCGAGATTTTCTTCACGGACCAGGCCTGTTCACCCTGGTCTCTGGGTACTCCTTGCATCTACTCACCTTCCTAGCCAAGCAATCACTCCCATGGATGCTATTTTTCCAGATATCCTGCCCAATTTAAGGCTTATGTACTATACTTTGGCACTTGTATCATCTTCTATACTAAACTTTGAAACCCAGGAGATGATTCTAGAAAAAATGAATTGGAGAAAACTGGCCCAAAAAACCCATTACATTTCCTTTTCAGAAAAGAAAAATCATGAGGAATTTCTATCTTTTACTTGGAGACTAAAACCTATTTCCCTGCTCACTGATTTGGATATTAATATAGAAGGTGTCTGACATATAAGTGTTAACATAAAATAAATCATCAAATTCAAGGCTGTGAATCAAACTGCCACTCTAGCTCACTCATCCTTATAGATTCTGAATCCTGTAATATTATCTACTATTACATTCATTAATGAATAAGGACACTGCATGACTAAGTTAAAAAATAACCCAGAAGAAATTTTTTTTGCGAATTTCAACTCTAAGGTAGTTATAACAACATCACTAATACTGTTCTAATTTAGTAGATGGCATTAATTTGCCTTTTTTATTTAATAATAAAAAAGAGAGAGAACAAGGGAAATTACAGATAAAAATCCCATATGTCTGCTACATCTGTTCAGGAGAACCATGTCTAAGCACATCATCAAATCACAAATCCGGCATGTGGCTGAAGATGACTCAGTTGCAATATGTTTGCTTTCATTCATAATGAAATCCCGTGATCACAAAAATCTGAAGTATTTGAATGAAACTAACCACACTATAAAAAATGTGTCAGAGAATTAAAGGATTTTATTTAGAGCAATGCAAAATAGATCCAGATAAATGTGATCTTGCTTGGTTAAACAAGATTAGACAGTCAGTGAGTGAGCACAAATCATTCATCTCTTCCAGTCTAATACACTAGAATGTCCTTCTCCTGAAGCTCAGATAAATCCACATGGAGCAGTGATCCCCAAACAGGGGCAGTTTTGCCCACCACAGATCAATAGGCAATGTCTGTCTGGAGATGTTTTGGATGTCACAGTTGGAGGGTGCTAGTGGCATCTAGTGGGTAACGGCTAAAGATGTTGGCAAACAGCCTACAGTGCGCATCCCAGCCCCAACAACAAAAAATAATCTGTCCCAATATATCAGTAAGGATAGGTTGAGAAACTGACATACGGTTTAATTTTCAAAAGATATAGTCTAAACCATAACGGCAATAACAATATAAAAATCTCAAGAAAAGACAATAGGGCATTTAAAAACCAAATATAAGCACAAGAAGTTTCATCCAATCTGATAACTGGTACAAAATGAAAGGACTTCATTTATTAACAGGAGACTGCATGAGAAATACATTAAAAAGTATCACTGATTTCCGAACTAAACCTCAAGAAAGATACCAAGTTAAATCAATATTTACAGTAATATGGGCCTAGTTTGTCCTGATGCTAAATCTTACTATTAAGTAAAAATTGCTCAATGTATGAAGATTGAATGTTGTGATGAACATCCCCGGCTTGGTCTGGCAAGGGGTTTATGATGGTCATTTCAGTGTGGTGGGAGGCAGGTGGAAAAGAGTAAAATAAGATGTGAACTGAAGGAAGTGTGAGAGTCCTGCTCTTGTAGTTCAGAAAGAATAAATGCTTTTCAAGACAGGGAACCTGATACACATGTCCTGTGACAGCACTTACATCAAGCTCCTCAAGGCACCAGGAACCAGAGCCCCAAAGGGTTGCCTAGGGCTTTTCCTCCTTATTGGCCAACAAGGTCGTTATTAGGAGAAGTATATACCTGGCTTAAGCACCCTTCAGGACTCGGGAAACTAAGTCCAGCAAAGGGAAAGCCTTTGGTAAAAGGTAACCACTTGCGTATGGCCACACTGACTGTCAATCTGGGATTGCCACTCCTAGAGTATCCTAGTCTGATCCCCAAACTTGCCTCACTGTAACAGGAATTCCATTAAAATATTTCTCCATTTAGCAAATAAAAGTACAGAATGACCAGTTAAGTTTGCATTTCAGGTGAATGATTTTTTTTTTTCAGTAAAAGTATGCCCTTGCAATACTCTGGATATACTTTTACTAAAACATATTCCTTATTTATTTGAAATTCAAATTTAACTGGGTGTCCTACATTTTATCTTGCAAACCTATCTCAGAACTTTAGCATCCCAAGATGGAAAGTCCACTGGAACATGGGCTTCGCTTTCCATGCCGCCCCTGATACTTTAGTTTGAGCTGCTGGAGGAGTGGTGGAAGAGGCCCCGGCAGTGCTCAGCAGAAGCAAGTGTCATGATTTATTTGCTCCAAGCACAGAGGGAGCAGGGGTGGTCAGCGAGCGGGGCATGTAGCGGATACTTGCCATTCATGCTGTTGAGCTCTGGGCAGTGGCTGTTTCTGAAGATTTGGTGAATTGTCAGTGCGACGTAGTCGAGGGGAACTTTTTCTTCTCCCCGTCTCGCCACCCACAGCCTTCATCTTCTATATATGGTGGCTGCTTTTTTCTTTCCTATTTTAAAATAGTTGCTATAAGCTTGTTTGAAAAGAGAACCAAATGCAAACCATGCAGACACCCTGTTGACTGTTTCCCCAGAGAAGGAATTACCAGAAATCCTAGCAGTTCACAGATTCTGAGACATGCTTTCTCTATTGACTGGTATCATTGGACAGACTCAAGAAAATACAACTATTTCTAGACCACAAAAAAGAAGATCAAAGTAAGAAGAGATCAGTAATAGCAATGGTGATAAGGAAAAAACTATAAATGTTATGCTCTCAAAACCATATCTTCAAGTATTGTAAAGTTAAACTTTGTGGAGTCATTTGATTCCAACAGGACAGTGAAAATAGCAAACAAAGACTGTTTCCAAAGACAAGAAAAGTCATTTATAATGATGAAGATAATAATCCATCAAAAGAACAAACAAATAAAAAAAAAAAGTGTTTCCAAACAACCGTAGAGTGATCTTTAGGCATTTCCTCTTCTCCTTTTCTGCCAACTCAAAAGAGATTTCTGTCATTTTCTTTCACCTCTGCACCCTCATGTCTAGCTGGATGAACATCGCACTGAACAGAAAAAGTTAAAGCTCCTGCAAAAGAAACAGGTACAAATTCAAAAAGAAAAGGACCAGTTACAAGGCGAACACAGCAGAGCTATCCTCGCTCGAAGCAAACTGGAGAGTCTGTGCCGGGAGCTGCAGAGACACAATAAAACACTGAAGGTATGTGTCACCGCGGCTCTGGATAACACTTTCTTGCTTGCTGCATGGACACCAGCTTCTGCTACTTGTAGGAATAGCATAAGGTTCTGACACTACTGTGCATCCACAATCCCCTTTGCAGCCTGTTTCCTCACCCCCTAAATGGGGATGTCTCACTGTGTAGTCAGGAAAAAATTCAATGAGGTCATACAGGTAAGGTGTCACATAGTCCCTGACCCAGAGCAGGCCCGGGGAAAATGTGTGCCATTTCCCTTACGTTTTTCTTATGCTGAGTTTGTTTTGTTTTGTTAATTTAAGGTAGGCCTTAGTTCTACTCTTAAAACACAAATTTGTAAAAATTCAACATTTTTTGTGTTATAATAAAATCCACATGACATGAGATAAACTGACACAAAGCTAAGTGATAAAACAAGATTTCAGAGCCAAAATGTCAGTCGTCAGCTGAAAGAGAAGCTACTTGTAAAAAACACTGAAGCTCTTCAGGCTTAATTATTCAATCTAAAAACAATAGACTGAGCGCTTCCTTCAGTCTGCATGGGTTTCATTAGTTACAGCATCAGCCTCTAGCTGTGTGTCTAATTTGATTACACACAAACACTAGCTCCATTCAATGCAACAAGATGTAGGGTTCTCCAAGATAATACAGCCTGTGTCCACAATCCCCTTTGCAGCTGAAGATCCTAAAGCTTCTGACAAATAGTAATTAATTAAACACTAAAATTCCTGTGAGATAGTTATTGTTACATGTGTGTAAAAGGAGCTACTTTAAGAAACAGAGGGATTAAGATCATCACTGAGTTTATACAACAGAGTCAGGAAGAGCAATAGAAGAGGCTAATGGCTCCTTATATTCCACATTCTTTTGCAATAATATCCAGAAAATGGGAGCCCAGGGTGATGAGCTCTAACTTTCAAATTACTGGGCCTAAAAGATAGGCTTCTGGCATCTCTGCAGTCAGTGCTTTAGGGACAATGAGACCCAGGTTGGAATACGGTGCCTGAGGATGGGAGCATCATCCTCAGCTCAAGCTATGTGTTCAAAATTACAGCACTCTGTGTTTACATAGATCTGGCTTTCAGTGGTAAGGGGACAAAAATTTAAATCAGACATAGTGGGAAGCTTTATCAACAGAGAGATTTGAAGAGTGGAATGATGTGGCTTGGGCTCCGGGTAACATTCCAAGACAGAATGATCAAAGTGGCAGGAAATTTTGGCAGGTAAAAGAAAATAACAGTACATAATAACACAGAATGCTATTGTTATTTTATTTAACAACCCTGTGAGGTTTAATATGTCCATTTTATTGGCAAAGAAACTGAGGGTCAGCAATCCAAATCAGTACCAAGGACATGCACATATTAAGTATCAAAATTAAGATTCAAACTCAAAATATTTTCTAAATTCCCTTTTGAATTTTTTTTGACCCTTGCATTATTTAGAAGTGTTGCTTAATAAATATATGTTATATATATAAATGTGTGTGTATATATATATATATATAAAACATATATAAAGAATACATATATATAGAAGTGTTGCTTAGTATATATGGTCTATCTTGATGAACATACTATAGGGAATTGGGAAGAATGTTCTTCAGATGTTAGATGTAATGTCACACAAGAGACAATTAGCTATTGGTTGTTTATGTCTTTACTGAATTTCTGTGTAGTTCAAAATTTTTGTGTCAATTGCTCAGGAACAGTCTGCTAGCATAATCATGAAATTGTCTACTTCTCTTTTTAGTTCTATTTTTGCTTCAAGTATTTTCAAGCATCAATATAATGTGTATACACATTTATGATTGTTCTGTCTCCTTGATGAACTGACTGCTTTATCACTATGAAATGTCATTCAATAATAATCTTTACCTGAATGCCTACATCTGATATCAATATAGCCACTGCAGTTTCTTACTCTTATTGTTGCATGGTAATCACTTTCCATCTACTTGTTTCAACCTGGGTCTATATATTTAAAGTACATCTCTTATAGTGCATCTCACAATATATGCTTATATAGTGGGACCTTGTTTATTTTCATTTTTATAATAACTCCCTTTATTTAGAGTGTGAGTCCATATAATATAATTATTAGCAGGGTTAGATATACATATACCATTTTATTATTTATTTACTATATGTTTTCTGTTTTCTGGTCCTCTGTTCTTTCCTGCCTTCCTTTGGGTTTTTTGAATATTTTTAAAATTCTACTTTAATCTATGAATTGGATTTTTAATTAAACTCTTTGCATATTTAGTGGTTGCTCTTTGATTACTATATGCATTCTTAGGGTTTCAACAGTCTACCTGGAGTTAATACTGTTTCACTTCACATATGTGAAGAAACATTGCAATTAAAAACTTCCATTTACTGCCCTCCACTTTTAAATGCCACTTTTGTTGTTATGTGTATTATATTGATATATGTTTATAAAGACCATGAGAAAATGTTATCATTTTTACTTTAAATGATCATATGCATTTCTTTAAAAATTAAGGGCAAAAACTGTGCTTTATATTTACCCATATATTTACCATTTCTGATGTTTTTAATCCCTTCTAAAGCTTCAAGTTTCTGTCTGGAGTCATTTCCTTCAGTTTGAAGAACTTCCTTTAGTATTTCTTATGGTTCAGATCTACTGGAAATTAATTCTTTTATTTGTTTTGTATCTTTAAAATATCTTTATTTTGCTTTTATTAATAAAAGCTATAGTAACTGGATATAGAATTCGGCATTGACAAGGTTGTTCCTTTTCTTTGTTCCTCTTAGCCTCTTATAGATCCTGCATTCTTTATTCAAGTCTTCATAATTTCTGATGAAAATCAACCATTTGAATTATTGCCAGCTTGTATGTCATACATCATTTATCTCTGGCTACTTTCAAGGTTTTTCTATTGATCTTTGGTGTTCAGAACCTTGACTGCTTGTTGTTTTATTCATATTTATTCTACTGGGGATTTGCTGAGCTTCTTGTATTGGTAGTTTATGTCTTTCACCAAATTTGCAAAAATTTCAGCCATTTTTCCTTCAAGTATTTTTTCCTTCCCATTCTCTCCTTTATTTTCTAAGATTCTAACTCCATGTCTGCTAGACCCTTTGACATTGTCTCACAGTTCCTTGAATCTGTCTTCATGTTCTTCAAAAATCCTTTTTCTCTCTTATCTTCAGATTAGGTCATTTATACTGGTCTATCTTCATATTCATTGTCTCTTTCCTCTGTTATCTCCATTCTGCACTAAGTCTACCAAGTGATTTTTAAATTTCATATTTTGAAACTTGTAACTCCATAATTTCCATTTGGTTCTCTCTTACATTTTTTCTCTCCTGAGATTTCCTATCTTTTCATTAATGAGGTAATACTTTCCTTTATGTCATTAGGCAAAGTTATAATACCTGTATTATTGCCTGCTAATTCCACATATGGGTCATTATGGAATAGGCTTCCTCTGATAATCTTTTCATTTGAGAATGGATCACATTTTCTTAGTTCTTCATATGTCAAGTCATTGTAGATTATATCCTGGATGTTGTGGGTATTATATTATAGAAAACATGGATTCTACAATACTCCTTGAAGAATGCTGGAGTTTTTTTTAAGCAGGCAATCAAACTGCAGACTCTCTCTTGGGAAGCATATCAAATCTCAGTTCATTGCCTTTTTCCTTACCTAGATAACTTGGAGTCTGCCTTGCACATGTATGGTCAGAATCAGCCAAAGATTTCAGCACAGCTTATTCACAGAATTTATAGCACTCTCTCTCTGTCTCTGTCTCTCTTCTCTCTCTGTCTCTCTCTGTCTCTCTCTCTCTCTCTCTCTCTCTCTCTCTCTCTCACACACACACACACACACACACACACACACACACACACACACATACATACACACCCATTCTCTTTCCTGGTAATTCCTTCTCATCTTCCAGTAACTGTAGTTGCCCAGAACTCTGTACTCTTATTCTTCAGACCAGAAAAAATGTAGGTAGGTTTGCTATGATATTTTTACCCATCCCATGCAGCTGCCAATTGCTGTCTTCCCTCAAGCTAAGGCTGTGAAAAATGGGAAATGTACATTCCCTTTGTACAGGTATTAATTTCCCTCCAGAACCTGCCTGTCTGCTACTCCAGTGTCTTTAAGTAGTTGTTTCTCTTGTTTTTCAGAGTTTGTAATTGTTATCCTTAGAAGAGTCAGTGTGGTATGAGTTTCCTTGGCCATACTAGTGAAACAACCTAAGTATATCTGAATCTAAAATCCCTGTGCTAGGAGCTTGAGAAGATATAGGAAAAGAATGCATACTGAGGCTCTTCCCACCACCATAAATTTTAACTATTACTATTCTTTACTAAAATTAACTCTTAATGATTCCAAAACACACACACACACACATACACACACAAAAACTCACAATTCAAGATAATTTAGAAAAAGCCAGTGAAAGTCTGAGACAAAGGTTTGTTTCAATAAAAACTACATATATTTGAAGCAATAAATTTGAACTTCAAATTACACAGAAAAAGAACTGCCAACTGAGAGATGGCTAAGTGTCTCAAGAGAACATGATTTTAGTAGAGGAGTAAATAGGATTTATTATCAGAATACCACAGAATTTTAATGTGGAAACAATATAAGAATTATCTAGTCCAAACTATTCATATGTCTGTATGTAAATTAATTATTCATTGATTCATTAAACATTTACTGAATACCTATGGATTATGTGCCAGGCATAACACCAGTTCTAAGATGCACAATGATGTTTACAAAGTCTGCTTTCTTAGTAATTTCAGACTTTGCTTCTCAATCTAACTTGCATTATTATTTTCACTTTGAATAATGTGCTTGATAAAGAAAAAATTTTTATTTCAGACTCTATCCAAATGACTGCAAATTCTTTATAAATTGACCAAAATTTTATTTTATTTATTTTTCTCTCACTGAGAAACAATGTACTATAAAATGCAAGATGCCATTTTGTGGGCCAGAACTGGGTGCTATGATGGTTTGACCTGCGTTTAATGCCATCTTAACATCCATACATTCTTTCTGTAATCAGTTGCCACTGAAAAACTCAAACTTGCTGGTTAGCATGGAATAGTACTTTCATTTATTCCTTCATGAATAGAATAGTCATAAATACAAATGTCATTCAGATTATGGTTTGTAGTTCTACAGCTAGGAACTTGTTGACTTCTAAGCTAATCAGGAGTGATAAGGAAACAATCACTACCATATGTGTATTCAGTTGACTCCTAACAGATACTCATAATTATTTTTTAGTGAAATACATTTCAAAAGTGTTACCATACAAAGTTCAGGGAAATCACATCTCAGTTCATTTCTTCGGATTAGGAAGTGCAAACATTTTATACAATATCCCTAAGAAGTTGTCTCTCAGTAAATCTTTATACTATGAATAAATTATGATTCTGATGTCAAGTCATATTAGAGGTAGGAAATATGTTAACAATGGGGGGGGGGAGAGGATGCCCAACGATAAATTAAAATATTTCCAGAGCAATTTTAGGATCCATTTTTATTGTATTTTAGGTTTATATCATTTTACTATCATAATAAAAATTTGCACAGTTAATTCTGTTTAAAATATTATTTCTTTGTAAAAATCCTGTTACATAATTTGATCTTGGTAGGCAACTAAGTGCAGTATAATTTTACTTGCCAACAATGAAGCAAGTATTCATAATAACGATTAATCAAAACTGAAAGGAATCCTAGAATGTCTGTATCACTTGTCAGCAGTCTCTATCTTTGCTATGACAGGGCAAGATTAAACCCTTTTATTCTAAAAGAATGAGCGGAATAATCACAAAGCAAACAATTCTCAATATAGAAATGGGAGAAATTTGAGCACATTGTTAGTAGTTAAAAATGAAGGGAGAGTTTTGATTAAGGAGCAAAGAAAGCAGAAATGAGATAAAAGTTAATTTCTAATTCTTGAATGTTAACAAGATGCAAGAGGGGGAAATCAGATGTTTCATTTTAGAGTTAAAGATTTGAAACTTAATATTGCCCTTAGATTCATAATTTACATAGAACATTTTAATTACCTTATGTGACATATGGGGTGATTGTTTTTTCAGAAATAAAATACCTAGCATATTTTTGGAGATTTCCTTTTACATTCTTGAATTGCTGTTATTGATCTATAGCTATCCTGGTTTCCTTTTCAAACTTTTTGATGAAAGTTCTTTCTTCCTAAGAAAAAGTTTAGATTGTGATCATTTATATTCACAAAACTTGGGTGGTTAATATGCCATAGTTTTTTTTTTGTTGTTTGTTTGTTTTTGTATTTGTATATAAAGATGTATTTATTTACATAGAGACATCTATGATTTAAGTGAAAAGAGGTAGTTACAAAAATTCTGTTTTTATAGACAAAATATAGATGACTATATATATATGCATGGAAAAAAGCATATCTATATACATGGCAATAGATATTTCTGGATGGTGGGGTTGAAGGTGATTTTTTCTTTTCTAAGCCTTATTTGTACTTTGCAAAATTTCTACAATGAATCATTATTATTATTTTTTTATAATTATTTTTTATTGAAGGGTAGTTGACACACAGTATTACATTAGTTTCAGGTGTACAACACAGTGATTCAACATTTATATACATGATAATTCTAGGTACCAGCTATCACCCTACCAAGTTGTTACAATATTTTGACTATATTCCTTATGCTACACATTACATCCCGGTTACTTATTTATTTTACANTTTTTTTTTTTTTGAGAGGGCATCTCTCATATTTATTGATCAAATGGTTGTTAACAACAATAAAATTCAGTATAGGGGGGTCAATGCTCAATGTACAATCATTAATCCATCTCAAGCCTAATTCTCGTCAGTCTCCAATCTTCTGAAGCATAACGAACAAGTTCTTACATGGTGAACGAATTCTTACAGAGTGAATAAATTCTTACATGGTGAACAGTACAAGGGCATTCATCACAGAAACTTTCGGTTTTGATCATGCAATATGACCTATAAACCATCAGGTCAAATATGAATATTCATTTGATTTTTGTACTTGATTTATATGTTGATCCCACATTTCTCCTATTATTATTATTATTTTTATTTTTAATAAAATGCTGAAGTGGTAGGTAGATGCAAGATAAAGGTAGAAAACATAGTTTAGTGCTGTAAGAAGGCAAATGTAGATGATCAGATGATCAGGTGTGTGCCTATGGACTAAGTATTAATCCAGGCTAGACAAGGGCAGCAAGACATCCACGGATGCAGAAGATTTCTCTCAAAGCAGGGGGGGTGAGGTTCTGAGCCTCACCTCTGTTGATCCCCAAATTCTCACCTGATGGCCCCCCTGCGACTGTGCCTGTCTTAGGTTGTTCCTCCCTTGAGGAATCTTACCCGTCTCTGGCTAACCAGTCATCTTCCGGGGCCATACAGGGAAATGTAAAGTTGGTAAGTGAGAGAGAAGCCTTATTGTTTGAAAGGGTTAGTTTTTTACTTCTTTGCATACTTATGCCCTGTGGCTTCTATGCCCAGCATTTGTCTTGAGGTATCTTTACCATCTGGAAGAATTGTGATACACGGTAAATTCAATAAGAGGCACGAATTCTATTTAGGGGTTGTAATTAGAAAGGAAGAAGAAAAGCTATAGAAGTTGCAGGCTGAAGAAAACATGGGAAGATTGATTATTTCTTTGACATATCTTCTTGTAGAGTAATTTCAGCATATATAGGTTTTAAACTACTAATTAAATTGTGCACACACATTAACATAATGGGAATACAGTTACATAACCAAAGCATACCTATAATTACCAGCCATCTCCAGTGAAACCAAGAAAACCAGTTAGGCACCTTAGAATATGCCATAGTTTTTATAGAGGAATGTAAGGTCTAATGTTCTTTCTGCACCGAACCAAGGAAACACATGCTCTATGACATCAATCACTAAAACCGAGTGGCCTTTTTCCAGGCCACAGCCAAGAGATCAAAACCATGTGACTGTATGTTTGTTAGAAATAGTTGCAGTTTATTCACTCAGCAGGAAACCCGTCTTTAAAACAAGCCTATTCATCACCAACTATCAAACTCAAGGCTCTCACTACACCTGCTCTGGGTGTCTGTGTATTCTTAACTGAAATCTTTGCTCATACATTTATTTTGAGGCCGGGCAATGTTAACTCTAGAGAACTGGGGGAAAAATGTCCTACTTACCTTGCATGCCAACCTCCTTCCTTGACTTAACTGAGTTCTGTAAACCTGGGTGCATGTAAACCAACATAACAGAAGATCTTGCTTTTTTCAACAGGAGGAAACCCTTCAGCGGGCACGTGAGGAAGAAGAGAAGAGGAAGGAGATTACAAGTCATTTCCAGACTACCCTGACGGATATCCAGACCCAGATTGAGCAGCAGAGTGAGCGAAATATGAAGCTGTGTCAGGAAAACACAGAGCTTGCAGAGAAACTGAAAAGCATCATTGATCAGTACGAGCTAAGAGAAGAGGTGAGACCCACATCAAACAACTTAGTGACAAAGTATATAGACCCAGATCTGGGGTGTGAAAGTGGGGAACTTGGTTAATAAGGAAGTTATGGCTAGCCCTCTCAACTGATTAATATTTAAGATTGGATTTCTTTTTTTCTAGCCAAAAGAAAACAGATGGTATTGCAAAATACCTGGCTGAAAATCATATGGGATGTCTTCAAAATTGGAGTCACTGCAAAACACAGACAATAAATAGGAAGTGGTAGAACATGAGCATAGTTATCCTTGAAAATTATATATCTCAGCCGGTTTAAAACCCTCTCTACAGAGCCAAGAAATATCTCACACACTCTCTCTTAAGAATCCCCCATGTCATCCAAATGAAGAGTCTGTATTCTACATACCCACAGCCAATAAAAGTATTAATAATGTAATGATCATAATAATGATATTACTTATTCATTGCTTAGTTGTACCATGCAATGTGCTCAGTACTATACTTTACACACATGTGTCATTTAATTGACTGAGCAATCTTATGTACTAGATAACAATCTTATGTACTAGATAAAAATATATTACCCACATTTTATAGATGGGAAGCAGAATCCACAGTCACAAAAGCCAAGAGTTTTGCTTTCAAAAGTTTGCATAGAGGGACTATAAAGATCTTTCATCATTCCAAAATATAATTTAACATTTAATGTGTTTTTAAAAGTCCAGATGCCCCCTCGGGACTTTGCTATATCATATACATTTCCCCATCCAACCCCAATTTTAAATCTCCGCCATAAAATTAACAACATAGGCAAAGTGGTTCTGTTGGCAACATGCTAGAATTTTATCAAAAAAAAAAAAAACTGAGCCAAGAGCACATGATAGCAGCAGTTAGGTAAATCAAGAAACTCCTCACAGTAAGCCAAAATGTCATGCTACCATTTTATCTTGTCACGAAGATCAGTCCCGCTCCAGAGTGGAGGTTCAGGCAAAAGCAAAAGGGAAGGAGCTGAAAGGAAAATGCCCATACTCTTCAGGGGGATCTCATTTGGGAAGGGTCTGTTGTATATTCCTGGGTTTGGTTCTAAATAAGGCCTGGAGATAGAATTCCACATGCACCCTTGCCTATGGGACCTTCTAATGACCAAAAAGTTCTCGACACTGAGGTCAAGATGGAAGCTTCTCTTCACCAAGCTAGTCAGAGATCAAAAGGTGTGGAGCAGGTGGTAGTGCGTTTGCATATCAGTTCACCTGGGACCCCTGGCCTTGTCCTGCCCACCAGAGCAGCTGAGTTGAAATCAGGGGGCTCCAAACTCAGTCCCAGATCTCAGGCCACATGCTGGTACCCGAAAGCTTCCTGACAACCCTTGAGGCAGGAATATGGAGGAGACTTCATCACGATAAACTGCATCCATGTTGTGATGAAATGTGGTTTTTTAGTCATAGAAAGACCCCAAACACCAAGTGATAGGGCCATAGCCTTACAATATACATCATGGTCTATGCTGCCTGGCATAATAACTAACATCATATCAAATAGTTACCAAATTCAGAAAAATAATGTTGGGACCTGTTAGACTTAACACTGCCGAACTCTGGCACCTTGACCTTTGCAGCCACCTTTGTGTGCTGCAAAATACTGGGGACCATGCCCATGTATGCCTTTTATATAAAGCTCTAAGTTCTGTCAATGCATGGATTCATCCCTCCTTTTTAAAATAGTAAAACCTGGAGAACATGTCTTTCTGACAATATTACTTTTCAATTTTAGATTTTTAGCATCAATAATAAGTCAAGCTTGATATGTACACTTTGTTTTTCCTCAGCATCTGGACAAAATATTTAAACACAGAGAACTGCAGCAGAAGCTGGTGGATGCCAAACTGGAGCAGGCACAAGAATTGATGAAGGAAGCCGAGGAGCGACACAAACGCGAGAAGGAATATGTACTTACCATCTGTGTCACGTGCTTGTCTGGTCAGCCTCGAGGTCAGGGGGCCCCTGAGAAAGCTGTCTATGGGCATGCTCATCGAGCACTGGCCTGGGACAGAGTCTGAGCTTCCTTGGAGAACTACACTGGCCAGCCCAGTAGGAGGCACTGTACCTACACTATTTTTTACATAGAACAGTCATATAACCATTCGACTAATCTTTTCAGGTATCTGTCGTACGCTGAGCACTATCCTAGGTGCTGAGGTTCAACAGTGAACAAAACCAGGAAGGCCATGTTCCAGCAATGGAGACTAGAGTTTAACTGGGAAGAGACAGGCAGTAAAAGAGGCAAACAAATAAGGAAGGATAATTTTAGATAATGATATGTGCTCCCTGGGAAGTAAGGAGGAACTGAGGAGGGGCAGAAAGAAGGGGCACACTTTAGGCTGGGTGAGCAGGAAGGCCTCTGGCGAGGAGGATGATTGAGCCGAGCCCTACCTGCGGAGACGGGACAGGGGAGGAGGCCTCTGGCAGCGTCTGCATAGCAGACAAAGCCCCTGCTGCTGGAACCATCTGGTACCCACCAGAAACAGCAAAAGGTCAGGGTAGCAAGAGCACGTTGGCCCAGTGGGAGAAAGTTTCCAAACGAAGTTGAAGAGGTAAGCGGGGTGGGGGGTGGGGGGTGGGGTGGGAAAGGTCTGGGTATTTTTAGCAAAGGGAGTGACATGATTATCTTCATCTGTTAAAGATGAATTTGGCTCCTGAATGGAAAATGATCTAAAAAGTTTAGGACAAGAAAGCAGGAAGATGGTTAGGAGTCCAGGCAGCACTGGATGAGATACGATGACACCTTGGATTGGGGAGGTGGCAGTGGAGAAGGAGGGCTGGACACAGAAAGAAGTCGTGTTTTTCAATGTGAAACCAGCAGGTGATGCTCTGAACAGGAGCTAATATCAGGGAAGAAGGGAAGGAGTCAAGGATGACGCCTGAGTGTTTGGCTTGAGAAACTGAGTGGTGGCTATTAGGTCAGCTCATTAACTCCAAGCATGTAGGGGTTATTCTCTCATTCTACAGATGAGAGAATTGAGGCTCAAAGAGGATGTGCAACTTGTTTAAGACCTCATGTGCTACGTGACCAAGATGTGTTGGGCACACTTCCAACACCTCTCTCTGTCTCTGCATCTGTCTCCAGAGCCCACGCTCTGTGATGGTACATCACACTCAGAGGTGTGTTTTAGAGGCACAAGTCCAAGAATGTGCCGGTTGCTAGGGAGACAGATTTAAGATCCAAGCAGCAGACTGATCACTCAAATGTGGCCATTTAACAACTGATCACAAGCTTCCCGTCTACCTAAACTCAAACTAGAATAGTAATCTTAACACAACTTTGGTTTTCAAACATGGCGACCAAAGGATGAATTCTGGAGAACATGACCTGGAGGACACTGGACAACTTCAAATGCTCATAATAAAAAGATTAATTTATTAAATCCATTGATGACCTAGCTCTCAAATGAAGAATTAAAGCATTTAATTATTACTCAGAATCCAAGAAAAGAGATATCCCACTCTTGGCGTAATTACTCCCTCCCTTAGGTGAAACAGGGTATCAGTACGTTTGGTATATAATATACAAGACACGACAGAGAAGCAACTAGGCAAAGATGCATGTGCAAGAGACACGGGGTGACCCAGCCTTAGCAGGAAACCAGCATGCTGCCCTATTTTCCTACCCTGATTTGAGTCAAAAAAGGTAGGCCCCTCAGTTCCTCAAAGCTGATCACCTACATGGATTCCAGTTATGATGCTTCTTTTTTAAAGTGATGACTTATGAAGTCAAAGCTGCAGGGTTTCTTTATTCCGAGCAGGACAGGCAGCCACCTCCCTCCCTCCCAGCCAGGGACCACCCGCCGCACAGGGCTCCTCAGTCCTCGTTGGGAAGCAGGGGCTGCGGACACTGCCGCCACACGGCTCAGACAGCCAGAGGGGACACTGCAGGTCTTCTACTCCATGCTGCCTCAGACCTCTCAATGAGCCAATTGCACTTCCATTAATTAATCTTCACTGCTCTCTGGGAGGTATAGAGGAATATACACAACCTATTTTATAAATGAAGAGGTCAAGCCGTGGGAAAAAAGATAAACTTGGATTTTAAAAAAAGATGCCTCCAACTTTTTAAGAATAACAATTTTATTGTTTTTTGTTCTGATCACGAAAGTGGACATTTTTTAAAATAGCGCTAAACAAAAGAAAGAATTAAATCAGCCTGTCCTCATATACAATAGAAACCTTTTAGCTGATGGCCACCTGACTAAACAGATTAATCCATGAGGTTCACCTCTCTCTCTCTGAACATGCTAACAGACGTCCACAGCATGTTGAATCTTGTAACTGGTTGGCCACTCATAGTTGCCCAAGTAAGATGGGGCTTACCAAGAATCAGCTCTTTGTTCTCAAACCTTTTCTTTACAGTTATCCTTATTTTTGTGTTATATAAATCAACAGAATGATACGTCAGTTGATGAAACATAAGTGTGAAAAGAAAGAGTTATTTCTATGAAAACTACACTTAATGCTTTGAAAGACTAGATGTAGGCAAACAGCAAACCACAATTGTCAAGTCAGATGTGAACAGCTATAAAAAAACTGGGACAAAGTTGTAAAAATTCTTAGAATTACTGTCCAGCTGTTTCGCAAATATCTTTGGGTCTCTAGTGGTGCTAGAACCACTGTTTAAAAAATTTTTTTTTAATTATAAATCTTATATGGTACATTCTGGATATAACTTTGTAAAAACAAAACAAAACAAAAAGCTTCTTAATTCTAATCAGAAGATCCATACCCAAAACAAAGACCATAGCCCTACATCAAACTGATAAATTAATGAGCATATATCTTAAGTTAAAATGACGTTTTAATTATGTGTGTGTCATTTTTAGGCCTGAAACAGCTTTTCTAATTTAACCTATCAGCTCCCACGTCTGACTGTGTTTGATAAGATCGTCTTGTTTGTATTTGTAAGGCAGTTGTACCAGAAGGACGAGGCTTATTTTGTTAATCTTGTACAGGATTTAGAATACTAGCTCACATTTCTAACCTGTTTCTCAAAATGTAACCCAGGGACCACCAATATCCAAACCATCTTCAGTATTTGTTTTAAGTATAGACTCTAAACATGTTCTGTTTCCTAATTTACATTTCCTGAGAGGGATTTGCATTTTAACATTCTCCCTAGAAGGTTCTGGTGCGTGCTATGGTCAACAGTGGTCTAGGAGAATAACTTCGGGTTTAACATAAAGAAACCATGGCCCAGGTGGGGGTGTCCTGGAGATATTCAAGCAGAAGCCAAGTGACAGTTAGGGCAGGATTGCTACAGAAGTTCCCAGAATTTTGGTGGTTGGTTAAATTTTGTGTGATTCGTGCTTGAATAGGAGATGATTTTTGTTTGTTTGTTTTTTCCATAAGGACCACCAATTTTTAGTTGAGAATCCAACTTTTAGACTAGCTACTTCCTTGGCTTTCTTAGATTCTTCACAAAGTTCCCAAAAAATTTCATTAAGAGGGTTAATTAGCAAGTTATTCAGTTGTATACACAAGTTACAGTCAAATGGTCATTTTAAAGACATTTTGAACAGCCTCTGCATGTGTTCTCTCTTCTCACAGTTGCTGAACCAGGCAGCAGAGTGGAAACTGCAGGCCAGAGTGCTGAAAGAGCAGGAGACGGTCCTGCAGGCCCAGGTGACATGGGGACAGCAGTGCATGCGGGGTACTCTCCTTGCTGTTCCCAAGTAAAGGGACTACGTGCGAACCAAAGACAGTCTGCACAAGGCCTTACAAGTGGCAGGGAAAGGGGGAGAGGAGTTGGAGATGAAGAATAGCTTCGTATTTATCATTTTTAAGCAAAAATAAAAGCACATCGTATGTCTAAGAAAAATCAGTGCCCTAACCACCAACTTTGTTGACACACAAATGAGGCACCAAAACGGTCAATCAGAATAGGTGGGGTCCAGGTTCCTGCCTCTCTGTGGCTATGTCCTCTCTCTCTTCAACCCCATTAACTGATAAAGGTAAGAATAAAATGCGAACTGTTCAGATGCACTGTCCATACCTGTCGATACTGAAAATGTCATTACTTGTTTGGTATTGCTTATAGTAAAAGGAAAGTAGAAAAATAGAGTCAACACCCATGTTTTGTGCTATCAGAGGTTGGCCTTGTCAGTGGTGAATGACTAGGGGTAGCAGACAAGTTTTGATCTGGCTTCGGGATATCATGTGTGTGTTTTTGATGAGACTATGAGAATTCATATTTCAGACTCAAAAATAAAGTCTCACGCAACAGCTGACTGTAGAGAAAAGCCAGATCTTTCATCGTTCCAGTGCCCTTAGGGTCTGTCTCTCCTGGCAAACATTTCCTGGCAGTTTAGTATTTTAGTATTTTATTTATACTAAACAGTATAAATTGAACTGTAGAGCCCTCCTGCCCCAGGCCAGGGGCCACAGAGAGGTTCTAGCTCCCCTGATGGGAGAAATGGCCAAGTACTAAAGGGACTGTAAGATCACACAGAGCAAATTCACAGAAGGTGAGGAAATCACAGGCCTTCCAAGCTGGGCAGTATAAATTTAAGATTTGGGTAATTCACTTCTAAACGTTTATGTGCTGACTGCTGAACACTTGCTCATTGTGTAAAAAACAGAATAGTTGTTCATTGTACGAATGAACAAGTTCAATGAACACGTGTTCATTTTTTAAAAAGAAAAATAGGAAATTTAAAAATCACAAATTATACCACTGTGCAGACCGAATCACAGATAACATTTTGATATCTAACCTTCCTAAAGCATACTTTTCGATGTGTGTACCGAATGTAATGATGAATTGCTTTTCCCCAGTTAATATATCAAAATAGTTTAAAAATATTAACTACATAGAAATTGGAATTGGCTTTTTTACTATTAATAAAATCAAAGGTCCCAGATTTAAAAAGCTTACTCTAGAGTTACAAACTCAAGATCAACCCTTAGGCAGTCAGGGGACCCATCACATCAGGGTGTGGGGTAGGTGGCAGGCCCCAAATTCCTATGTACAATAATGTTTAAATAAGCTCCTCTTGAAAAACATCCACACTGTATTTTCTAAACTATTAAATTTTGAAAAACAAAGTATATGACGGATTATTTTGCAGAGCACTTAAAAGCTTCCTTTGTTTATAAAGTGCCTTTAAAGGAGAGTGGGGGTGGGATGAGGGGGAGGCCTAAGTCCCCATTTCTATGGTCTGAGCAAGGGAAATACTGAAGACAGGTTGTGTTTTCCTTTTCAGTCATAAGACAACAGCTTGACAGTTCGGGCCATGATTCTCACTTAGGGAGGAGACGTCTGGCTTTCAATTATACAAACCAAGGCAATAGAGTAAATGTCAGAGATGATCAATGGGATACAATTGGCAGTACAAATAGAGTGTTCATTGGATCGATAAGGATGAAGATGGTCCTAGATGTGGAAAGTCAGCAATGCAAGCACAACACAGCAACACAGACACAAAATACTGCCCAAGGGGAAAGATCAGCCAGTCAGGTGTGAAAGCTGGATAATCACAGTCTTTAAACTCAGAGGTCCTCACCTTACTTACATGGGATGCGAGAAGATTGCTCTGCAACTACTACTGTGACTGGATTTGTTCCCAAAGCAAATTCTGGGAAGACAGCCCCTAGACATGGTTCTGTTTCCTGAATTAAAATTTAGTGCTCTGTTAAAAGAATGCGTGTGTGTTGCCTGGCCTATTTAAAAGTGAACTGTTGGGGCAATTGTTCTTGTCACCAGCCCTAGGATGGTTTGTTTCTGTTTCTGTTTCTGCCTCTGGCAGTGCTGTGGATAACCTCTGGATGTCCCTTCCGTGATTCTCTGAAATACCAGAGTAATAGCGGAAAGATGACGCTTCCAGCCAGAAATGCCTCAGGTCGCAGTGAGAGAGAAAATACAGCCAATCAAACATCCCTGAAGTGAACAGGAAGTACGTTGTCAGTTAGTGTGAGGAAGGAGCGTTAGAGTCGGCTACCTGAGAAAAGTATAACCCACACGGGCTTTGCCACGTATGGCAAAGAGTTCATACAGGAAGGAAACCAGATTATTAAAAACGGCCACTGGATGCAGGAAAGGGGGAGTTGTTCAATGGGTACAGAGTTTCAGTTTTGCAAGATGAAAAAGTTCTGGAAACTGGTCACACAGCAATGTAAATATACTCCACAATACTAATCTGTACACTAAAAACGGTGAAGATGGTAAATTTTATGTGATGTGTGTATTTTAACACAATTTAAAAGGAAAAAAATGTTGAGGGGGGGAAAAAAAACAATCACTAGAAAAAGGCCAGAGTGGTAGTGAAGTGAGACACTGTTTCTTGGCACTGTGGGTGTGACTGTCTGCTCCAAGCCACAAGAAAACAGGGGAGGAGAAACAAAATCTGCCCAGTTTACACACCAAAAACATGTTGCCCAAAGAAAGCAGGAGAGCAGGCTGGGGTGGGCGTGGCTGCTCCTGTTGTTATCAAGGTTGCCTCTGCGAGGACGGCCTATGTGCTCACTCCTGCCCCCTCCTGCCTGCAGCCTGCAACTACAGGGCTGCCAGAGAGCTCGGGAGGAGGATCGGCTCAGACTGTAACATCTGCGACCGCCCCCGCCAAAACTCGGCTGGAATTACTGAAAAATTGGAAAAAGAAAGGGAAGAAAATAAGAAAAAAAAGCCCAACAGGAGACTTAGCCAAGAATGTAAAAATGGCTTTTTTGAAAGAAGGTCAAGTGGATTAACTGCAGGCAGATATTCCCAACCTAGACCACTGGATCGTGTGCAGTAAAGGTAGCCAGGCCCACAGCAGCTTACGCTCAAATTGAGGGTCTTGACCTATACGGGCCCTGAAATCAATTCAGTGGCACCTAGCCAGTACTTTGAAAAGAATGAAAGAGAATTAAATACACTATGTCAAGAGTACATTGCACACAATGAGTAAGGATTGCCTACGCACTGTGCGTGTGTGTGTAAAACCCTCGGGTACCTTCCTGGCCTTGAATTCCCTGATGCTCCTTTACACAGTCTTTAACCTGTATGCGAGGAATCATGAAAAGCAACCTTCAGGCCACCAGAGTTGCCCCAAGCTCTGTCACATACTCATGGCGCTAATGAATTCTTTCAAAATGATGGTCAGCTGTTGTCTGACTTTTCTTTGGAATCTGTATCCTGTGGAAAGGTTTTGTGATATCATTTTGCTCTTATTTGCTGCAGTTAAAACTCTGCTATTCTGAATCATTTGAGAATGAGCCATTCTAGATAAGCACATTTTCTGGGTTCTAGCGGTTGTCTGATTCCCACAGACTCCCTCTAACTTCCACTCTCAATACTGGGGACTCTCCAATCTTCTGTCTTTTAGTCAGTCCCTCCTCTCTGCTTCCAAAATGGTTGTCTCACAGTCCCACCAGTTTGCAGTTGGTTGGTGCCCATTTGAGGACTTAGGGCTCTTCCAGATGCTCAAGAGTATCAAAGACTCATTTGAACATGGAGGTTTTACTAAGATGATCATCCATATGAAATCTCCACTCTCTCAAAGCATGCTATCCTAAAATTATTTTCAAGAGCAAATTTTATTTCATTGTGGTATTACGATCACTAACAATCAAGTATTTACACACTCCCCTTCCCTGTCCTGCCCTATTCTCACCTTAAATGCAAGCCTTGGAATTAGGCATGTAGCGATCCACGGGCTCTGCTCTGTACTCCCATGAGGAGCTGCACACTTGTATGGCTAGGCCATACAATGTGGGGTTTTTGTGAAAATTAGAAAAATGTGTTTCTTCTTAAGGACCATTAATAAATTTTTATCGTAAGCTGAGTTTGATGAAAAGGGACATTTTACTGATATTGGCTAGAACACTGTATATTCACAAATACACAAAACCACAGTGTCTAAAATGGAAATGGCAATTATTTAGAACGGAGCAGCCTACATAAGGCAGTAGCCCTCATCCATGTCTGGCCCACATTTCCATTACCACTTATTTTCATTTGTCAACATTCTCACTTCTTTCAAGACCAAGTTCAAGGTTCACCTTCTCCACTAAAATATGGCTCACAGTGTCACCTGCCATGCTCACCTTCTCTGACCAGCATCGCATTTAACTGACTTATCCCTTCGTATTCACTGTTTTACAACCAAATTCTCTTTGGGATTATCTTTCCACCTCAGGAGTGCAGGTCTCTCAAAAACAGGAGCCACAGGTTCAATGATTTTTTTTTACGTAGAGTCAATCTATATATTCAGCGCTCAATAAATGTTTATGGGTAAAATTACAATATGACATGGTGGTGATATATGCTATTACTTCATTTTTCTTTAAAGAAGTACTTCAGTCATACTCACTGATCTTGGTTGATCTCATAGTAAATAGAAAAACTGAACATATGACTAACATTGTACTGAGAATTCCCTAAAATCACTTTTCTTCTCAATTAATGAACAGTGACATACTACTTTGTTCCGGAAGCATTTTGAAAGCAGCCCTAAAATAGACCCACTGTTTCCCCTGTTTACAGCTTACTCTTTACTCTGGGAGGTTTGAAGAGTTCCAGAGCACGCTGACAAAAAGCAATGAGGTGTTTGCCACTTTCAAACAGGAAATGGATAAAGTGAGTATTGCTTACTCCCCACGAAATATTGACATTTTCTATTTTGACAGGCAATTGTCCCTTGGTTTCATATTTCTCTCACCAAGATATTTCAGTCCATTTCATGAAGTAATGAAAAATTTTTTATATGTGTAAATGAGATTTGGGCTCTTTTTTTTATTGGTAAGTGTCCGGTGAACTAATCTTAGGAACAGTCCAAAAACACTAGGATACATTTTCACTCTGAGGAAGAATATTTTCCTTTTCTAGTCCATGGAGGGAGCTTTAAAAAAAAGACAGGAGCTGCAATTTACCATTATGCTGTTTATACTGCAATCATAAAATATTTAATATTCTAACACTTAAAAAAAACTTTTACACAAATCAAATACACAAAAGTAGAATGTTAGAGTGGAAAATACCATCTCATAGGATCCTCCATAGGATATGAGGCATGATGTAGTTGACAGATCCTGAATGAGAAGATGGAGCCTGAATTCAAATTCGGATGGGCTCTTACCCATCAAGTAGCACTGGACTTAACTTACCCCAACTTTCTTTTTCTTTTATCTGTAAGTTAATATTTCCCTTGCCTACTTCACAAAACTGTGAAGTCCAAATAAATTAATGTATTTTAAAGGGTTTTAAGCTTTTTAAAAGTCTTTTACAAATATAAGGTGCTAATATTATTATTGTACATAATGTTTAAATCTTGTTCAACTCAGTGTTTTCCCAAAACAAAATCAGCATCCAAATTGTATTTAACAGGCATTGACGTTAATCCTTTTTAAGTGTAGAAAGCATCCTTCAAAAGCATTTTCATAAGATAATATGATGAATTGCACAACTCAGTGATCAGTCTTAAGTTGGCCAAAACATAAGTTTCAGCTTTCCCAGTCCAGGATGGATCTATCTGTTTTTTCAAAATATTTTTAACTAAGGAGAATTAAGATTGGAATAAATATTAAAGTAGGAAAAATGTTTATATTTACTTCAAAATTACATAGTTTTAAGAGCGGAATAAATATTAAAGCAGAAATTTTTAAGCTGGGATTCATCTATAGACTTTTAGTAGTAGACCTGAGAATGAGCAGAAAAAAATGTGACACACATCACATCTCTTTGAGTGTGGACCCATAGATGTCATCAAATTCTTAAAGGAGTTGATGACTTTTAAAAGTTCACAAACTACTAACTTTGTTAAATGATCAAAATAAAAACCACTAGAGCCTCACTTAGCTTCTCTATAGAGCCCAGGGGCTGACAGACAGGGCCCAGCCTCTGGCCTCCACGTCTACACAGACTCAGGCTCCTTGGCTGGAAGCAGCAAGTGCCCAGGTGCAGCTCACCCGGGGAAACTGCCCCTGATTACATAATGTCTTGCCCTTCACTTCATCCAAGCAGAGAGGAGATTCTACAATCAGGGACATGAGTGGTTTCAGGTTCAAAAAAAACGGGCTGCATTTTATTCCCTTCTGTATCCTCTACACCCAGGCCCTGCCTGGTGACCAGCAGACACTCTGAACAGCTGCATTAAGTGAAATGAAATCAGCCCCATTCTTCTGCTAACTCGCATAAATGTGATTCTACCTCTCAGGGCTTCCATTTGCCCATTTATAAAGTGGGGATGAAAACAGAACCTTTGTTGTGGGATGGTTTCAAGGATTAAATGAACAACACATGTAGACACACTCTGTGAATCTCACCACACTCCACAAATGTACAGGCTGAGGAAATGAGAAGTTGCCTCTGTGCGGTACTTCTCGGAGGTGCCCAGGTGTCACCCACATTTTAATGGCTAATAAGCCATGGCAGCTTTCTCACTTATCATCTTCTATTCAGTAAACAATCTAAACGCCAAAGTTATTCATGGCACTAAATAAAGCTATTTTCATGTCAAACGAAAGAAAAAACAGTGACAAACAGGGGTGGCACCAAGTGGTTTCCTTTTTCCTGAGTTGGCTGTGGTGCAAATAAGTTCACCCACCACTGACCTAGATGGTTCAGGAATAAATCACGACTCTCCCCACTCAGTCTTCATTTCTTGACATCAAACTTTTGTTTGCCTCAGCAGCTAATAACACAAGGACTTTTCTTGACACCATGTATGGAATAGCTTCCTTGATAAACTAACTCTTCAGGATTAACATTAAAACACTCTAATTTCTGTAGACGACTAAGAAAATGAAGAAGCTGGAAAAGGACACAGCCACATGGAAAGCCCGGTTTGAGAACTGTAACAAAGCCCTGCTGGACATGATCGAAGAGGTGAGGCAGCTCCTCCCCTAGCTCATGATCTCCTGTCTAGTTGACATATTCATACCCAGATAATAATTATAACTTAATAGGACAAATTATTACCTTTGAAAAACAGCTAAATTTTTCTGGGATGTGATCCATGAAACTGTAATAAAAATAATTAGAGCAAAGGTAATTCAGAACGGGGTCCAGACTCATAAAGAGCTCTGTGACCCTAAGTTACAAGCCTATATGTTGATTCCAAAGCTGCCCCCAAAGCAGCTCCATGCCTGAACTGCAAATTCCTTGCAAACTGGTGTCTTACTTGCCTTGTGCATGGTGCCTGGCACCTAACAGGTGCAGAATAGGTTAATTAGTTGATTTGATCATACTGAGAGAAGACACCAGCCCAAGCACCCAGGGTATGTGTCATCTTATAAATAGATAAGAAGATACAGTGTTTAAAGCCTCCATCAAATATTTAATTACTGAAATTACGTTGGGCTCTGTAGGTTTTGAGACTATGACAGCAAAGACACATGGCAGGGTTTACAGGTGAAGATCCCTCCATGTGAACAAACGAAAGACAAGTCTTAAAGAGTACAGAGTGGCACAAAGGTATGGGGGGAGGAGTAAGAGGAGCAGGAATTACTTTATGCACAAACACACCGCCATTTCCAGGGAAAAGATGGAGAGTTGAATAGTTGGAGCAGCCAGCATCATGAATTAGTGTGTGGTGAGTTTCTCTGGCCATAATCACTGTTCTAACAATTCATCCCAAATTGCAACCAATTCCAAAGAGATATGCTTATTATTCATCAACATAAATCAAACAGTTGCTAGACTGGCATACAGCAGTGTATCTATAGAATAGATGAGGCCGTGCTGACAGCCAATTCCCAGTCCAGCTCATTCATTTTGCGACAAGCTTTTGCTTACGCCTTCTAAGTCCTGGAAGCAGAAAAATTAGTCTACTTTAAGATTCCAGAGGCCCTGGACTGAAGCAGAGAGAACTGTGCCATCTTTCTTTCCTAAAGGAAAGTGATTGCAATTCTTCCAGAGACTCACACGCATGCAAAAGTGAAGTGATGCCCCTAAGCGTCTGTTCAGCCACCACTCTGTGGACAGGCCCCAGAGCCTAGCAGATAAATTCCTGGACAAATGATTTTGCTTAACTCCCGGGGGACATATTGGCAATTTTGCTTTTGGTGTTGTTTTTGTGTGTGTGTGTCACAGAAAGCATTGAGGGCTAAAGAATACGAGTGCTTTGTGATGAAAATTGGGAGGCTCGAGAACCTCTGTCGAGCTTTACAAGAAGAGAGAAACGAACTCTACAAAAAAATTAGAGAAGCGAAAACGCCGGGAAAGGATGACCCAAGTCAGCACACCTCCGACGAGGAGCCAGAGTCAGCTGCCGAGGGAGGGCCGGACGCAGAGGAGGCCGACTGCGTTCACGGTGCTGGGAAAAATCTGGCCACAACCTTCATGAAAGTTCATCATCCAGAGGCTACCCTCGACCGGTCCCAGGAAGTCCAGCCAGGATTGGGCAGTCCTCCAGGGGGCGGTGACAGCGCCCCGAAGGAGCCGGAACGGTCCCCTCTGGGCGCCTCCTGCCATCCAGACAGTCCCCTGCCTCCCCCAGCTCCTCAGGCCGAGGCCGAACCTCCTCCTCCGGGGACCAGCAATACCCCCGTGGGAGCAGAGGCTCAAGACTGGGGTCTCCCGGCTGCAACACAGGCTGGTCAGCAGCCCCTGAAGCCAGAGGCAGAAGCTTCCACTCCGGGCCCGTGGCTCCCAGCAGGGCCTTCCCTACCGGCGGTGAACGCAAATGGTCCTGCTCCACCACCCACAGCAGGTGAGCAAGCTCCAGCTGGCGTGCCGGGGTGTGAGCCTGGTGGGCAGCCTCCACCAGCCGCAGCGACAGAGGAGGCGCTGCCCGCAGGGGCCTCAGCGGGGCCCCGGGACCCGAAGCTCCTGGGGCCAGGCTGGGAGGGGTAGCCCGAGCCTCACCCGCCCGTGGAGGGCTGCCCTTCCTGGCTTCACAGCTCTGCCTGACAGTACATCTTTGGCACTGTCTTCTGAGTGGCATTAGATGTCTAATGGAAGAGACTTAATTAGAATCAAGACATTTTTAAATGTTTTGCAGAGTACATTCAGCGTTTGGTATTTGTTCTCCATTTATAACTGATTTAGAGCTTTTCTATTTAACACTGGTTGATGGTATAATTTTCCCAAATGGCAACAGAACACTCAAATAGCAAATTTGTATTAATTTGCCATTAAGGTGGTACTTACTTCAATTTCTTAACAGTAAGATTTGGTGTTTAAATAGTTCCACTACAATATGTAAATACTGAAAATGTGATGTTCTATTTATTTCCATGTATAGTTTAGTAAGTTCCACAGTAGTAACGAATGTTCAGGTTCCATTTAAACATTATATACTTAATACACACATATGTGTTGATCAAATTTCTCTCATCATTTTTTGGATTTCTCTCATGCAAACTGTTTAGATGCTAATCAAAAAATTATCTCTTACTTGCACTTGGGACTACAGTAGACTAATGCTAATCAGAAGCAGGTTCAGAACACAAATATTTAGGCCATATAGTGTTGGGCAAAGATAAGTAACTCAACTGTAAGTCAATAAATTCAACCAGTTAATCAAATGACAGAACGACAGTTGGGTCAGACAGCAAATCTGTGCGGAGTACACAGACCCAAAGAGGACTCTAAACAGAAAATGGGAACCGTCACATCATAGACTGATGACCTCTTCCAACTGTTCATCCTACACAACTCAGCCCCTTGCCTTGCAACCCTCTCACGCAGTGAGGCAGCCCACTCGTGGATTCCCATGAGGAAAAGGTTCGAAGTGGGAAAGGGAGCTAGGGCGTGGAGGGACTGAGGGTCCTGACTGAGGGATGGAGAAGAAGCGGAACTCTCATCTCCTGACGGATACTCAGCTGGCCCTGTCAACTCCTCAGTTCCCTCCTATCATCTACCACTCTCTGCAGAGGGTCCCCTACCTCTGCTTGCTGTTGCTGCCTCCATCTATACTCTCAAAACATCTGCTCCGTTTTTCAAACATCCTCTTTTACAGCTGGAAATTACACCCAGCCCTCATCTCAATTATTGCTAAGTAAAAGCTACTGTTTTTCCAAAACAGAAGTCCGTATAGGGTCTCAATATCAGTGATGAGGCTTACAAACCAACATATTTTCTCCTTTGAAGAGTTCTCCACAGCCAGAAGTACAAAGCAGGGGACAAATTGTCCCCTAATCCAAAGGACTTGAAAAATAGGTGAGGATTCAAGAGAAGGCAAATGCTAGAAACACCTGGGGTTATCCACATACATATAAAATTATCACTGCTTGACAAGAACATCTAATAATACTGAGAGCATAAATTGCTCTGCTAGGGTAGCAGCAGACCAACAAAGAAAGAGGAAGGAAGAGAGGGAGGAGAGAGGAAAGGTGGGGAGAAAAACATCTAACGCAGCCTTACTATAAAAGTTGAATCCAAGTAAAAAAATGGATAAATGGAAGATTTCTGTACTACTTATCCAGGAACTCATTCTTCAGTGCCGCATGTGGCTGCCTGCCAAGGTACACAAAGTGCTTGAAGGCAGCAACCATATGCTACAAGAATTGTGAACTGCATAAAATTTGTTTGAAGTAGACAGTGAGGGTAATAACAAAATGCTAATCAGGAAAAAAATGCATATCGCTATTTGAGAACCTGTGTTTTTTTTAAAGGCTTAAAATATTATAACCATAGTGTATCCAGCCAAATTGAACATTACTGAAAATCTTAGAGATTTAAACATTCATTTAATTCAAAGCCAAATATTCACCATAACAATCCAGGAGGGTCTCCTTTCCCACTACTTACAGAGGCTACACTTCCAAAAACAGAGTAAGATTAGATAATCATAGTCAAGTCTCAGTTTGGGTGGTTAGCAAGAGAAACAGGCAGGAGAGGAGCCAAAATACTCAGTAAATCATATATTCTAATGCCCAAAGTTCTTTTTGTTTCCCATCTAAAAACCTTTCATAGCAACACATTACTCACTACTGTGTATATCTTGGGCAGAGTTTTGTATACAATAACTTGCTTGAAATTTGTAAAGCTTAATATAGGCTTTGGAAGAATTATTTTAATATTCAAAGAATGTTTGATTATAGTCCTTTGTTTTAGAATTCAACTTTACTAATTATAACAATAACTCATAAGACCTGAAAGAATAAGGGATCTCTGTTCTGTATCAAGTTTGTGTAATATTTCTAGAAATGCCAGGTCTACTTTCTAGAAGTACTACTCATTGCTGGTATTTTCTAAATTAAATAACTCTAAGTTATGTATCTATTAAAAAGTTCCTTCTCTTCCTGAATGTACGGGCAGTGGTTTTATTTTTTTAATTTTCACTTATATTTACTTTTACTTCTGTTACTATATTTCAACAACACCTAACAAAGATTATGGTTGTATTCTACTGTTGGTTGAATTTTTGGTCTCTGAGTAGAATGTAATGGTATGGAACGCTTTGAAAATCTTAGAGAGAGAGAGAGAGAGAGAGAGAGTGTGTGTGTGTGTGTGTGTGTGTGTGTGTGTGTGTGTGTGTGTGTGTGTCTGTGCATCTGTAGTGAAAGAAATGAAAAGGGGAGGAAGTGAGGGAGAGAGAACATGACTGCCCAGGGCTAAGGAGAGAGCAAAACTCACTCTTCTGCCTGACCATCTGCTGCTGTTATCACATGGCCAATGTTTCTCTTCAGTCCCAAGCTCTGTGAGATTATGCTTCCACAGACTGGAAGCGTGTGTCCTCTCAGAAACACTCTGAGGAGTGAGGGAGGGGCTGTAGAAGGTGTGAGCTCATGCTGCTTCTACTCAGTCCTTCTAACGGCTCCAAGAATTTCCTCTAGCAAGACCGGAAGAGGGCCAGCCATTCTGCCTTTTGCTAATTCTCTCCTTCCCAAACGTATTGATCCAAGAGCTTTTTGAATATGGCCTTTCCTAGTATGCCTGAAAAAGAAGATTGCTTAGCGAGAATGGAAAAAAGATAAAGTTTTATCTTTAAGGCTTTTTTGCTACTTTTTGCTTGGTGTGTAGATACACATTTTTTAAATTGCTCTTTTTTTTACATGTTCATTGCAAAACTGAGGCTGCTTTTCGATATGACTAAGAGATCATTAAGAGAGAAATGACCTCAGGAAAACTTCCTCTACCCCTTCTCCTCCAACCAGTAGGCAAATCCAGTATTTAAGAAAAATAAATGTAGTTTAAAATGTAAATAATTGACTAAGAAAAGATGTGAAATAAAAATGATGACACTAGTCTCTAAAATTTATTCCCATCATAAACTGGCAAGTAAGATTTAGGAGGCAAGGCAGATGGGTTAAATTTCACAAGGTTTAAATCATTTCCATTTCTGTACTTTAAAACCTGAATATTAAAGGTATCATTAGATCAACCATGAGAGCATTCCATTAGAAGCATTCATAAATGATAGTAATAAAGATTTTTCTTGATGCCTGTCAAGCTGTAACCACAACCTGATGTTAAGTCTCCTTACAGAAGGTCTACAAACATTAGTTACTATTGTATATATGTGTGAATGTACACACATACATGTACATATAAATGCACATGTATAAAATTTGGGCTAGATTAAATTCTGTTCCTATAGGTGAGTTTTTAACACCTATATTTTCAAAAGATACTTAGTATTAGATAAAGACAAATGATGAAAAAAATCATTTCCTGCGTAAATAAGAACATCTGATAGAATCATTTAACTAGCAAAATAAACCATTGATCCAATTGATCTATGGCACAAAAATTATTCTACCAGGAGAAAAGAAATGAGATAAATCACTTCGACTGCAAAATCAAGTTGGCTAAATCTAAGTGTAAGTCCTTTTTCCTGCTGGATTTTAGAGCCTCAGCTTTCTGTTAACACAAACATCTATCCCATTTTAACTGAATTTTTAAAAAGGTGATGTAATGCTCAATTACCTTATGCCACAATTAAAACACACCAAGGTGTAAAAATCATTATTTCAGAACTGACAGTCAGTTGACTTTATGTCAAAGACCAAAAACCACCACTGAAATCAAATAAAAAGACATTAAGCTAAGAGGGGCAAACGGAGAGAGAAAAAAAGATTTTCAATCCCATAGCTATTATATAAAAGGCAAAATAAGAAGATAAAACTTTAAGACCACTAAGAGCAATAAAAAGAAGAGAGAGATAAGTTGTGGGAGCCTTTTGTAAAAGCAGGATGCCCAGAGGCAAGAGCCATAATGAAGTGAATATACTTCCACACCACAGCTTCAACACAGGGAATTTTTACAAATGTCTGTCTCAGTATTATGGCTTTATTGTCTTTCTTTTAAAATAATAAATGCATTCTTTTCAGTATAAAAATAATAAAATAATATTATAGAAGTTAGAAAATAGAGAAAAGAGAAAAGAGAAAAATTAACCATAATTAACCATAAAATCCCTCTAACTTAACCACTGTCTGTAGTCACTGTATCACACTATATTTTAAATTAAGTATCTTATTTATTTAACATGATGCTAGTTTGTCTTTGGGAGAAGGCACAGTAGTTCAAGTGAGAGTAATAGCTATCAATAGCTGCCAGATTTGAGTGTTTACACTATGTATTCATATTATACATTTCATTATGTAAACATGGAAATACATTATATTATTTATAGAATAAGCATGACTGCAAATACAAATACACAGAATTCTTATATGTTGTTAGAAAAAGTTATGCCGTGAATTCCACCACATATGCACAGGTTTCTGAATAAACTTACTAGACATAGGTAGAATGAGATACCTAAACTTAGCAGAGCTTAAAAAGAAATAAATAAGTAACCAACTCTTAGAGAAATACAAATGTAGTAATTAACAAAAGAAAAAGTCAAACTCCAGTTTATGAAGTGACAAGAAACACGATAATACCATAAATCACAGGATTGGCTAAATAAAGGCCAATGTTCTAAAACAAATCTAAACTCTTCAAAGTTAATGAGGCAGTGGTTTTGTTGCTCTCATAAAATGACGGTCACAGCATTAGTTATATCATGTCAACTAAGAAGGACAAAACTAAAAAGCACTGTGAATCTGAGATTGCTCTAATATCTATGGGGTAGATGCCAGATCTCACATACTATGGAAAATTGAACGTCAAAGTTCAAATTTATGGAATTAATACAACAGGGGCACCTTTCATCACACCCAAAGTCATGAGGTTCAAATGTCTCAGATGGAAGTCAACCCATGTGATATCATAAGCTACATTTATTAGAATAGAGCAAATGCTCTCCCCAGGCCAGTGTAATTCCTCAAAGGCTGTTGTAATGCTCTGAGTAAAGAAATTCGTGTTCAATTCTCTTGTTTTCTTAACATCTTTATCAAGGAGTTATTCCCTGGAATAAAATCACTCAAGTCCAACCAAGGTGAGAAGTATAGGATAGCACCAGTTTAGGAATCAGGCTATTGAATCCCTAGTCCTTGTTGACTTTGGAGAAATCACTTAACATCTCTGGGCCTCAGTTCACTCATCTATAAAATTAAAGCTTTAGATGATTCTGAGGCTTTTGGTATCTCTGATAAAATCCCAAGAGACCTATAAAGTTATACAGGGCTTTCCACTCTGTAGGGAGGCTTTTGTTCTAAGAGATCTGCAAATCACCTTGGCCACTCGCATTAAGTCAGGCAATGGGAAGAGATTACTCAAATAAATAAAAGTAAGAAATTACTCAAAAAAGTAAGAAGTAGCTAATAAAATTATTTTAAATTTTCAAAATTAGACAAAAGAAAGATGAAAGAGGAAATCACGAATTCTTGGATTTCTTCAACAAAAACTGAAGGCTTTCTATGTGTAGGGTTCTGTGCTAGCCCCTGGGAGGGCCGCAGTTACAAGGCTAAACAAAGGATCTCAGGACCACCCATACCTTGACTCTATGGAGACAGGCCTGAGGGTTCCTCCCACTACCTACCCTGCTGACCCAGCACCAAGGGAAGGGGCTGCAAGAGATGCCAAGAGGTCCTGTTGACCACAATGTTCAGCAACCAAAAAGCAGAAAGGAGACATGTAGGGGCAATTTATTACAAATGGTACCCAGCTTTCCAAGTGGAAAAGTTGTGTTCCTGGTAGAGAAGAAAGGTGGTATGAAATGTGTGTGTGGTTATTTGTGTGTGAATGTGTGTGTGTGTGTGTGTGTACGTGAATACTTGTGTGTGAGGAAATGTGTATCTGTGTGTAATATCTACCAGTACATGTGTATTTTCATGTGTGTTGGATGTATGTAGCACTAGGTGAAAGTTTATAATTGTATGTGACTATATTCATGCATTGTAAAGTGACATGAGCCTATGCAAGTGTGTGTAGTCATGAAGGAGTTTGTGGCATGTGTGTGATGGGGCTGGGAACTGAGAAGCTAAAACAGATATGATTTAGTCATATGACTAGCTTGTTTTTATAGGATCATGCCTTGTTGCAGACCTCTGTTTGCACGACTAATTCTCTTTTGCTTAGTGTTATAGGGCACATTCTTTTTGGCTAACAATCTGCCTTCAGAACAAACAGGCAGGTGGAGGAGGCTGCATGTGTAGTAGCTGCAGCTATTTGCAAAACAATTGCACACACCACCAGCCCAATGTGGCAGCCACCACTGACTCACAATTTCCACCCTAAGGCAAGTCTACAGGTCTGTCTTGAGAAATTCTCAGTGCCATTCCTCACATGAACCAGCGCCAACTTGAGAAGGGAAAACAAGAAGTGGCAGCAAACAGGCTAACTTTTTTTTTTTTTATTAAGGTATGATTGATATACACTCTTATGAAGGTTTCACATGAAAAAGCAATGTGGCTACTACATTCACCCACATTATCAAGTCCCCACCCACATCCCAATACAGTCACTGTCCATCAGTGCAGCAAGATGCCAGAGATCCACTATGTCCCTTCTCTGTGATACATTGTTCTCCCCATGATCCCCCACACCATGTGTACTAAACATAGTACCCCTCAGTCCCCTTCTCCCTCCCTCCCCACCTGCCCTCCCACACCCCTCCCCTTTAGTAACCACTAGTTCATTCTTGGAGTCTCTGGTCTGCTGCCATTTTAATCCTTCGCAAACAGGCTAACTTGATTCTTGTGTTTCTAAGTAAGAGAGGAGGTCCTCAGAAGGCCACTATCCCCAACAAAGGTGGCATCCTTGGGGGCAAAGTTATAGTCTCCTTTATCTTTGTGAAACTATCACCCAGCTGAAATCAAGCCCCTGGATATTAAGCATGTTTCTTTGAACTAAAAGCCAAAGAAAGAGTATTCAGTCCATTTATGCTTTCATCAGTGAGTCAGAAGGCACCAAACC